CCCGCAGATTCCACAGCTGCTTCAGAAACTACTTGAGAAGAGAACAAAATCTTTTAAATCACAGTAGGGCTCTGTTTAAAACAAAGTCCTTCCCAGTTTACAGGACCTCTTGTGTAAGACCTAAGGTAAGGTTCTCACCTGAATCCAAAACCTTTTAAGTGTAGCTTGCATAAATTGGTGAGGAGAATTGAAGGATGTTATTGCTGAAAAGAAAATTCTTGCTTGAGCAAGTCTACCGAAATGGGAGAAATTCTCACCTAAAAAGTTCAGGTGGAACTATGAGCTCCCCCTTCTCCCCAAATCTATCTTGCCTTGCTTTTTTCTAGGTATCAGCAAGGTTTATTTACCTTACGCAGCAGTGCTCAACAATGCTTTTAACAGCATTAACCATCTATTTTACCCTGTTTCATCAATGAAAAAAAATTGTGAGATTTTTCTCTAGAATATCTCTATGTTAACAGAATTGGAAATTATGCACGTTCATTATGCAAAAAGTTTGGTAACATTTTATGTGAAGATTTGTAAACACTGAGGACCATTAAAGAACCAAGTAGAAGGGATCTTACCATATTTTATAAATATAGATTAAGAAATGGTAAATCATGTATTGTTGTTCTTAACTCCTTTAATACAGTCTGTAAAATGGAAAGACCGAGAACTAAAAATGGAGAAAGAAAAATGTTGTGGGTTTTGTTTGTTTTTTGTTTTTTTTTTTTTTTTTAGTAATGCACAGTTAATCTGTGGAACTCATTGCCATTAAGTTTCATTGACACTAAAGAGCTTAGCAGGATGTCTTTACTGGCTTATCAAATGTATTCCCATTATCCGTGCAAACATCGCATTACACAAGATTTTAAAAAAAAAAAGGGGGGGGGATATAAATTCTCATTCTTTAGGATTAAGCCAACTTCTAAATAATAAGGATTAGGAATAAGCTTTATGGCTTAGTTATTTCAGATTGTTAGTTGAGAAGCTTCTTTCATTTTCCTCTTAAGTGACTATTGCTGGCTAATGGCGGGGGGGGGGGACAAGACCTGACCTCCCCCAGCCACTGGAATGGGTTTTCTGTACCCATAATGTACTCTGAAATGTGGGCGCTGATCATCTTTGCTCAGTGTTTTGCAGAAATAAAGTTGTCTGTGTTCTGAGCGGAAGTTCCTGTGTAAGGTGGCCTTTGACCACCCTCAAGCCATTAACCTCTCTGCATTTTTCCTCAAGCATTATTCAGTCAACTTAGGCTTTATATTAGCTTTATTAGCCTAACGGTGTAGGGCCTGAGGGGATCTCACAGCGGTCTCTTTGAAACTAAATATATCTACAAGTTCCGCAAATTTTTTTTTTTTTTTTTGGTGTAAAACTAAGTCATCTTCCATGTCAGGCGCTCTCATCTCAAACTGTACGACTACCATTGATTATTGCTTTGCTAATGTCCACTTAGGGAGAAGATCAGAGTCTCAGCTGGGTCTAAGGCCACATCAGCTTTTCTCTGTTTCTGTCACTAATTTCTGCCACTTGGATTTATGTGCTGTCTTACACAGAGCTGTAGTCCCCCAGCTTGACCTCTAGTTCTGACCCTAATTCAGGAATGCACTCTCAGAATCACTTCTTATAAGCATTCCACTTTATCTCCCTCATATTCGTTGCTGTTTATTAGTCACTCACATTGAGAAGGCGTGCTCTGAATAGAGGAAAATACACGTCACGCAATAGCTGTGATTCCACTGTCCTTACAAAAATTAACACACTATGTGTGCCTGCTTTCTGGATTCTTACTGTTCCCAAAAGACCAAGGCAAGTTTTGACTATCCCCCAAAAACTGTGTGAAGGAGGAGAGCCTGAGTTAGGGGCATTTGCCCCTGCAGAAAGAAACACTTTTGAGCTTGTGCCCATGTGAATAACAAGTATGTGAATTCACTGGCACGTTATCTGAAGGACAGTAATTTTTATGGCAAGTTTTTTTGCTGCACATGATCTCAGCTTCTTAGGAAAACAAATGTGTTCTCTGTGTGCGGAAGGCTGCTCCTTCCATTAACTGAATAGTTGTTTAGTTTCAGCTACGTGTGCCCGAGGAGCAGAGTTCTCGAAGGTAATTCATTTCCTATGAAGCTTGTTTTTGAAATAAAAAAGGGAAAAGAAAAAGGCTTGGACAGAGGAGGCTGCGCCCACTATGGTAAAAGCTAAATATGTGCTCTTATGCAAGGCATCAAAGAATCCATCCTGGCAAAATATCTGTAAATATCCCAAATAAGGAGATAGCTTTAAGTATCACTTGCTATCAACCAGCAGATACAAAGTTACCAGGCTTTGATGGTTCTAATCTCAGCCAACTGCTTGTTTATCAGCTGCTCTACTTTTCTCGAAAACTAGTGGTTTTAACTGTTTAGACTATTTCATGAAACAAAAGCAATTGGGAATTTGGTTGTTGTAGCTCACCGAGTGAGGATGGTTTTCCCTTTTGCTCCCTGCCTGTTCTGTCGGCACTGATTACGGGTTGGCATTTTGCTCGTTGAGTCACTGCACTGCGTATGTATGCTTGGTCTCTCAGTCTTTACTGTTAAGCTACAGGGAAGCATTTCCCTACTGATTTCATAGCCTGACATCTAATTGCTGTGATTTAAAATGTATTCGATTCAAACACTAACAGTGGTTGGAATACAGATTTGAGATACTCACTTTTAACAGCAGGTTAGTCTAAGTTCTTAAAACTCCTCTTGAAATTTGAACCTGCTTTTCCTTAACTAATTAATATGACTAAGACCATAGTTGTCATACCAAAACAGTGATGTAGTAGACTGTGAACTGTATTTCATCCACGAAGGCAGTGGAAGAGTTAAGAAGGCAGGGCGGTAACTAACTGGTTTCCTGGGGTGCTTTGGCAAGTCCCTGGGACCAACCCCCTAAGGTAAACATTAAGGTGCAGTAGGTGTATCACTCTGTGCAGAGTTCAGCCCTGTTGCTTACAGCTTGCACAACTTGTAGCACATCAGAACACTGTGGAATCAATGGCTCGCCAGAGTTTCAAGACATGATTAAAAGACTCAAGAAGGCCCTGAAAGAATTTCCTTTAATGGGGAATTGTGTGAGTGAGTACAGTGGGTGAGTTGGTATTTTTTTCTTTCTTCCTTTCTAGCTGTTGGTTTACTTTGGCAAAATGCTTCTGAGCTTAGGTTTAGTGTATGTGCTTGCATGTGTCTGGTTTGGAGAATGAGTATGTTCTGTACCTCACCAATCAATACTAAAAAATTACTTTGAGATACGGTAATTCCTGGTTTGTGGCAATGACAGAACTGTAAAGCTATTAGAACCTATTTCTTAAAGAAAACCTTGTCATTGAGGAATGCAGGTATGTATATGATTTGCAGCAATTACCAGTCTTCAGTTTAATTTCTCATCATCTTGAGAGCCTTGTTACTGCTTTAATTTTATGTGTGCTTTACTCTGAAATTATATTAGGTTAACTCTTTAATGTGGATATATTTATGGCACATGGAATGTTCTTTGCACCATTCCTATGCATGGTACTAAAAATGAACAAAAAAATTTTATGCTGATTAAAGATTACATCTTCTTGAACTTCTGCCATTTTTTCTCTTTTACTAACAAGTTCTAATGAGTTTTGTTTGTATCAGCCTGCAGTTAGAATTCATGAGTCTGAGTAGAAACAGCATGTGCGCGCTGCACCGTACATGGGGTCTTGTGTTATGCAAAGTATTGGCATGTTTTAATCTTTGTAGTCTGGGATTGCTAGAAGATTGTGTATCATGATTTTCGGTATTTTGGCTTTGGCATAGAGAGACGTATGCCTATAATTTATGTTAACTCTTTCAGGATATAATCTCTCTTTCCGCTATAAGGATTTGTATTACAGAAACTCAGCTGCTCTGCCTATTTAAAAATGTACAATTTTTGTTTCTGTTCATCAGAAGTTAAGTTTTAAATCTTTACCACAAAAATTAAATACCTGTACAGATAAATGATGTGGTGATCATCTTTTGAAGGAAGTGTGTTACTCCTATCCCTGATGGAAGTCGCAAGTACTTAAAACTCTTGCTGTTCTATTTGATCAGGCTTTAATAATGACAACTAGGGAATAGGACATACGCTCTTGAGATTTGGCCTATAATGAGTATTTGTTTCTGTGAGTGAGAGAGCATAAAGGCACAGAACTAATTTTGCTCTGACATGTTTTATGTGGCATATTGTTGATAATTGCTGCTATGTTTTCAATGGGGCTTTTTGAATAAACCTGAATATATATATATATATAAAACACATAATTCTTAAATCATACTGCAATAAGTATATCCATGGAAACCGATTGAATCCATGATTTTCCCAGTTTTGTGCTATAAGTCATCACAGTTTGATTAAAACTTCATAGCTAAGAGCAAGCACAGAGGAATGTCTTCGTGGCCTTTTGCAATTGGCCTAATGCAGATGGATTTTAATCCTGGAGAATTTTATATGGGAAACAGATTACTGGCTTAGATGAGCTACTGGTCTGTTTCCCAAAGTGTCAGTTCCCAAACTCCTCCCAGTATGTGAAAATGTATCATCAAAGTTTTATGCCTTTATCAAGAGTTAACAGCCCCCTTGCTATACCTTGGTATCTTTGATTAAGGCAAAATTGTTCGGATTGGTAAAAAGCACCTTAAACTCTGCTGCTGTCCTGTGAGTCCTACACATTTCATGCAGAATCATGCCTGCATATATAAGCATACATATGTTGACTGTAGTCCGCTGTAAAACACTTTATTATCCCTTTTGTATGAAAGGCATGAACTACTACATGTTACTATTTCAGTCAAAAGTTGTTTCTCCTTATTAAGGAAAAGAAATATTGCAGAAAGTCGTTCTTAAAAAAAGGAGGGCGAAAGGAGCGTATTTCTTTACCAGTTCATTCCCTTTCCTGAAGATATCTAATGCCTAATCTGGTATTTTGCCAGTAGGATCTAGTACCCAGCTTTGGTCTCCAGGTGATTTTGTTTTGTTTGTTTCAGTCAAGTGCCCGATGATACGACACTGGAGGATTTGTCCCCTCGTGTTCCTAGAGCCGTGTTTGTGAAGCAGGACAATGGCGGCAGTGCCTCGGTCATACCAGTATCATCGATCCGTGTCCCACAAGGGGAGGAAGAAAAGGAAGAAGCTTCAAATTCTCCTGACTTAAATCCTTGCAGTGCTACATACAGCAATTTAGGTAAGTGTATTCTCATAGAAGAAAATTTAAATAGATCAGATTTTGGATACCTTTCCAGGCGGTGAAGAACGTTGTCTTCTGAACAGCTCAGTATGCTTTCATAAGGTTAGTTTTTAAAGACAAACTTTTTAATATTAATTTATAGAAAATAAAATTATGTTGTCTCATTCTGACATACACAACCAAGAAAGTTAAGATCCAACAAACTCAAAGGTTTACTTTCCTATGAGTTTAAAACTATCTTTTAATCGCCCTTAATGATAAACATCTCAAACACTTTTAAAAGACACATTGTTTTATCTATTTGGAGGAATTCTTATCAAAGAGGTTTAAAATACAGAGCATTGTAGTCATCTCTTGTTGACTAAAACCTTTCTTATCCTAGTCTGAGAGTTTACTTTTGCTCCTTCAGGAAAAGTTTAAGATATGAATGTCCCGAAGGTACTGCACAGTCTGTTCAACTATCACTGAATTCCTGACTCTCATTAAAAAGATGCATGGATGCAGGGCTTCTCTGGAAGATAAGTGAGCAAGACAAATAAGCATCTTCCGAGACATAGTATCAATATTATCAGTCTAATTTCCTAAAGCATTTTGATTTGAAGTACTGCGAATTTAGAAATACCTACAGCCAGATTTTCTAGAAGAACAAAAATCTCATTTATTTATGTTCAAGAACATCTGCATACGTGTTTTTCAGTAATGCTCCAATCCTGTAAGAATACCAACTTGTTTGGCATTTGGACAAGAGGAAACTGGCTGAATTGAGATGGCTTGCAAGTACAGGGGTTTGGCATGTCCACACAGGTTTGAGGGATCAAGGACTAAATTTTAAATCCTCAGGTGCATACATTCCTTAGACATTTGGTGACATTGTTGCATTTTTTTGCTTAAATGTGAATTAGTGGTGAACTTATTAGTGTTCTGCTAATGAAATATTAATTAGGTATTGTTTATAAAGCATAAAGAGGAAAAATATCCTGCCCAAGAGTGATACTAACATCTACCAAGAAATTCTAACTTCAAGGAGGAAAACTAAGACTTACATTTTTCTGGTGAATTATTCAAAGATCTAATGAATTATTTTCAGTTAATTGAGATATACATATATATCTCTATGTATCTATATATTTTCTGTATTTAGGACATAGCTACATTACAGATAGAATTCAGGCAGTAGATCTACTGCTACATCAAAACTATTTTATAGCATGGTTAGCCCATGTTCCTAACCAGACTGACATACAAAAGGATGAAGCTAAGGTATCATTTAATGTATGAAATATCACTTATTCCTCATGGTGAGATTGCTATTTTTCTAGCCCGAGTGCTCATACAATGAAGGGATTACTTGCATTTCATAGCCAAAGTAACGATATTGTGAATCTTCTGTTTAAATCTTTACTCAATTTAGCTCGATTTTGTTATGCAAGATGCTACACCTGATGGCAACTGCTTCATCGTACAGAGTTAGCTGTCCTTCTGTCCATAGATTTCTGTCCTTCCCACAGGATCTCACAAACTGGGAGTAGTAAATTCATGGGAAATGCAATAAAATGCCATTAAACACTGGAACAGGTTGCCCAGAGAAGAGTCTCCATCTGTGGAGATACACAAAACCCAACTGGACGTGGTCCTGGACAACCTTTCACTTTCAGATTTGCTGTTAACAAAGTAAATTTTAGGGATGAATGAGTTAAATTAACTTTTAGGCTTGACTTGGTCTGGCTTGGCAAGCTTGCTGCTTGCTGTTAAAAGCAATGCTACCCTAAATGGCACTGAGTTTTCTGGCTGCTGTTCAAACTTTTTTCTGATTTATTCAAGCAACCTCACTTTCTAATTCAGATAGCTATCAAGGGATTACTAGGTAGGGATATAGAATAATTCCTTCTTGTTTTCACATCTTACATCACCTAAGCAGCAAAATGATATATTTTGTAGAATTAGCAAATATTGATGTGTGTAACTGAAAGAAAGGATAACATGAGAATATGTATATAATCAAGCTACATCACATTTGATTCTTGCTTCAACTGCAATTGTATCTACAGTTACCTTTTTAGAGCTGCATACTACAGTTTGTAGTTTGTAAAATGTATCATGTGAACATCGCAATTTGCAGCATAATGCACAACAGTCACTTTTTAAATCCTAATCTAATACATATTCTATGTTTTTTATTGAAAAGTAGGTAATATTATGTCCTTTGATAAATATCTAATCTTCAGTTGTGACATGTCACATGAAATTTTATGAACAGAAATAATGGCAAGCTTTGGTAAATTTTCATTGTAGCCAGGTAGTAGTTTGTATCAGGTACTGCCCCCAAATATATTTGGGTTTGGCCTTCCCCTGCTCCCACAGGAGTTGTTCCATCATCAGTTTACGGTTCCGCCCCCAAAAACTGCAAGTGTGCCAGCAAGTATTTGTCAGGAATCAAATTGCAGATGCAGAATTTGAGAACAGCTCACGTGTAAAATATGGGCTGTATTTGTTAGTTCATCTAACATGTGAAACCAAACATCTAGAAATTAAAAAAAAAAGCAGGCAAGCCTTACAAGATACAGGATTCTCCTCTGGGAATCAGATACAACGTAAAAGACTTAGGGCTTTTAGGAAACCTGAGGTGGAACCATGATGATAGGCTAAAGGAGCCCAGTATGTTCCTGGGTGTATAAACAGGAGAAAACTTCAATAGGAGTAGAGAGGTTATGTATATCTCATTTTTACCCTGCAACTGCCATGGCCATAGTCAAGCCCTGGTGACCACAGTTTAAGAAGAATGTTTAAAAAAAAATTGTATAGGCTCTAAAGAAAAGCTTTGAAAATGCCTAGTATTGTGACAGGCACTTTATAATGACTAATTCAAGAAGCTGAATCTGTTTAGCTTATCAAAGAAACAGTCTGGCTTGATCATGGTGTGGATGCTCATGTGGTGAGCAGAACTGTGATGAGGGATACCTTTAGGATCAACAATCAACAGATTTAACAAAATCCAGTGGCCGCCAGTTGAATCTAGATGCAGAAACAAATGTTCAGATGTGTAAGGTAAGGCCTCGATGTTTCTTTTTTAAGGTGCGCCCCTATTCTAACAGAACTTAATTCAGGTAAGCCCTGTAGCTTATGATAAGGAAGACAATAGACTAGATGATTAAAATCCTTTCCTTTACAAATCTTTGAATTTTTCTACCTTTGAATTTGTTAGGGAAATTGAGTTGATTGAATTTGCATCGCTGTAAGTAGATTAAGATATTCTCTATATACTCAGGATAGTATTTCTAGCACTTAAAAAAAGAATAGGTTATTTTATTATCAGCTATTTTTCTCCTTACACCCGAACAAAAGGTGAAAAAAAGAGGCTAAGTAAGTTTCTAGTAAGTTTTATGTATTGCCTCAGTCAGTAAGTTACACCAGGGCAGTGTGCTTTAGCCAGGCTATAAATAAGGTAATGAAGTCATTGTTGACTAAAACTGACAGTGCAGTGACAGACAGTGATTATAGTATCAGTCTGATGCATTTTGTATAATATATAATTAGTACAGGTAATTTCTTTTACATGGTGTAATGGAGGATGGGCAGCAAGACCTGACAAGTCACCAAGGCAGACAAGCTGTTGCATCTGAAGTTTTTATTTACCTGGTACCTGCAGCCCATCTTACTATCGTTCTGTGCAGAGTCTCAAACTGTTGGTGAGAAACTGGAGGTGCAGCATGAATGTTACTTAACAAATGTTAGCTATTTTTCCTGTTATATTATCATTCTGGTAAGATTTTTATCTATTAAATTAAGGATAAATGTGTAAACAACTGAGCATAATACAGGATTAATGATCGTGTTCGTGTAATTCTGTGTACTGAATAATTTTTAGAATAGTGTTGTACGTGTACTGGGTTTGTTGGAATTGGGACTGTGAAGTACGCTGCTTGCTTCTGCAGTGGCTGGAAGATACTTTTACACATTTGTGGGTTTTTTCATGGTTTGGTTATTTTTATCAGTCAGGGTAAGAGTTTAAGGAGTGATATCTTTTGTACTGGTATTAAAGATCAGTATAATTGATCTGCTGCTTATACAGAGAAATCTTTTCCAGGCTCTGTATTACATTAAAAATGCAGATTGCAAAGGATGATCAATATCCAAGTACAAGGGCAGGAAAAAAGTACTAGGACAAGGGTAGAGAGGGGGAATTTGTACAGTAGAGGTGGCCAACTGGTGGATTTTACTTAAGTGAATGCTTTAATCGGGCGTTATAACTGGATTTTGTAACATGAAATGGGGATGTACTGACATGAGAATTACTGGGACATCTGGCTTCATTCCTGGCTGTGGGGAGAAACAGGTCAGCAGAGGCTGCCAAAGCCAGCGCTGTTGGACCTCTCCAAGATCCAGCCGTGTGATCAGCCCAGCCCTATCTTATGGTGGGTTTCCTGCAGACACATAAGAGCCGCTCGAAATTCCTCTTTCTCGCTGGTCTCCACTGTAGAGAGTCCACAGTTTTGGTTCTAGTTCTGTTGGGGCTTTGATAGATGTGGTCTTGGAAGATTGGTTACCCATGTTGTACATACACGGTTATTTATTTTTGCTGTTCTTGGCAATACAAAACGTGGAATCTTTGTCAAACTGATAGTGGGTGAATGGCAGAGGTGAGAGTCATTTTGGCCATTTTAGCCCTTTGGGTCCTGTTCGTTCATCTGGATCCCTGCACTAGGAGCTTAGGGATTAAGGAGTACTATAATGGTCACTAAAACTGAGAACAGAGTTAGTAATCACGGCAATAGCCTAGTTACTACTGTGAATACTGAAGTATTGTTTTCAGCTCTGTTTTCTAATTCACGTCTTCCCACAAGGAACATTATCCTTGGATGAGAGATGGTAATGGCATATAATCAGAAAAATGCTTTCAAGAATAAAGGAGAATGTAGGATAGATTACCATGTCAAGAGTAAAATGAGTTTGGAGAAAGTACAGAAGCAGCCTGCTGTCACTGGTGTATTGGACTAACATATGTTATGTATTGTAGAGCAGTATATGTCTCAGGAATAGTTCTGTTCAAAGAACGATAGAAGCATGCAGCGTGTCACCCACTTGGCTTGCCTAATTCACCATTAGTTGTTTTCCCAATTAAAGAAGCCTTTTCCTTCACAGTTGTGAAATTTCTTGACAATGTATACTGCTGATCTGGTCTAAGTAAAAAAAGAAAGATAGATGGACTATCAAGAAATCTAAACAATAATTATGCATGTCATTAACAAAAACATGCTTATGGAATGTAAATTCAAATTAAAGCTGAGCTCAGATAGTTTCATGAGCTAAGATAAACAGGTTGCAATGCAAAGTCTGATGATAAATCAGTTACCTGGAAAAATAAAATTTAAATGCCTTTTTTTAGGGCTGATTTAGAGTTTCAGACCTTTGTGTGGTGTCCGCAGTATTAATATTTCAATAGTGTAGTGAGATTCTATAATGGAAGATGTTATTGAACTGTAGAATTACTTAAAGCTCTCTAGAAAGCTGCTGTCTATAAAGAGTTAATTTTTTTCTGTCTTTGAACAGTCTTGGAAGCCACTTCAAAGATCTCTGTAAGTGGCAGCCTAGTATTGTGCCCGTCCCTCCTTTTCTTTTGCCTCCCAAGAGTGTAGCTCAGGCTGAACCTCGTAATGTTGGAGAGTCTGTGTTGTAGGTAAGGAAATGATGGGGTTTAAGCATGCAAGGGGAGAAGGAAATGATAGGCAAGAAAAAGAAGCAAATGCTCTGCCAGCTTGTATGCAAAAGAACATTCTTGTGCCTTTGACAGGGACAAAATTTAAGACAACCTTTTTCTTGCTAGACAATGAATTTAAAAGAATGTGGAACACGCAGTATCACGCCACGCTTGGGGAAAGCTGCTGGAAAGACTGGCCCAATGGGCATGAAAGAAATGTACAGAATTAAGAACTCGGCATAAAAACAGTCCAGATATGAAGCTTTTCAAACACATAATACAGATGGATAGATTTCAATATGGAAAACTTGTTCTTGTGGGGAGAAACTGTACTGTAATATGACATGTTTTACAAACTCATTTTCCTCAGCTGAGAATACTTGAAAAAGTAACTACATAATGACTTGTACATGCAGTGCTCTGGATTCTGCCACCCCCACCAGAGATCTGCAAAGGCAACTTCTGGTTATGAAAACCTTCTTCAATTATGTTTTGATGTCACAGTTCCAGTAGCTATGCAAAAGCAACAACTAGTGAAAGTCACTGGTTGCAGTCGCAACACTCTTTTCTGGATGAATGGCTTTTGGAGGACAGGGCTGTTAAAGCAGACAGAAAATAAGAGAATCAAGAAGAAACACTGTTATAAATCTTACCTTTCTTGGAGAGGGCTTCTGCTCCTACTGCTCGAGATGTGCAACTTTAATTTGTTTCCTTGCTGTTCCCCTGGAGCATCTGTGCAGTCCTTGGATTAGCAAGTCACACAAGCAATGCATATTAGGAAACTGCCTCCTGAAATAGCAGCCTTTCTCAAAACCCCAGCAGTTAGGCTGTTTTAGCGTAGTGGGGAAGAGGGTAAGAATGAGAAAATAGGCAAGTGATCTTTAACACAGAATGTTGCCAGGGGAGAAGTACATAGGTCACAGATTTTCGAAGAGTAAGCAATTGTGGAAGGCGACATGTGTTTGGATGAGTAAGAAAATTGGATAAAAGGTAGAAATGAACTTGTCTTAGGATTAAGCAAAAGACTGTGGCATCTGGATGCGTGTGTCTGGCATGCAGACATCAGTTCTGCTTTTGACTCTGAATCATGCCACTCTTCGTCTCTGCAAAAGGCACCTTTCTGATAGAGTTCCTGTACTGCTCAGCTGGCACTAGTGTTACATGCTGCAGCATATCAAACGGTGAGAGGAAGAGCTGCTATTGTAGAGCACGCTCACTGCAATACCACCATCAGAAAGGAGCAGTTGAGGATCTCCTGAGTGTTAGATTTTTTTTAAGCAAGCTTGACAATGATTTGAGATACGCAGGGATTCTCCAATATTTCTAGCCTTTGAACATTATTATTTTGTGGGAGCTAAAAAGCGATGACCCAGGGGAGTAGTCCTATGACAATCAGGCATGTACAAAGCTAATGGAATTTCCTGCTCAAAATTCAGTTTTTCAACCATTGGAATATCCAGGCTTATCACAAAATCTATAAGGCTCTTCTGAAGGTTTCTTGAACTTAAACATAGAGATATAACTTACATTTGTGATGTCATCTCCTTGGAATGATTGAAAAGGGAATTACTGTGAGGAGTTCAAGAGCCAAGGCTATTCTGTTTGTGTGGATATATTTAAAAATGAAGTCCTCCCTGATCTTCTGAAATTACGAAGTCCTTTTCAGCATTCTAACTCAGCGTTCCAGGTTTTTGTGCATCCAGGCCAAGAGATTAGATTCTTTAGTATTCATAAAAACTGTAACAACATAGCTCAAAGTATAAAGGAAGCTATCTTTTTTCCTTTCATAGACTGCGAAGTCATTTATTATTAATTGTGGACCAAAGTGACGTAATTCAAAGCTGAATCTGAGAACGCCCCCGGTTTGGTTCAGCGTTCCAGTTCAGTCCTCTCTTTACAACGATTCAGCACATGTTATAAATAGTCAAATAGTCGTAGTGTCTTTCTACTTGCTGTTCCCTTATTAGAAAAGATGCTCAGCTGCAATTATACAGAGCATCCATTTCGTGTCTGCTGTGTTGCAACTATAAAAATCGGCTTCCTACCTTACCATGATAGTCAATGAACCTCACAGGAGTAGTAGAAAACTGATAAAATAATTTCTCTGAAAATAGCAGTTGATTATTAAGAACGGAAAAATCTCATTTTGATATGAGTAACAACCGTTTAATTGTCCCAGAGCAGCAAGTTGGTCATTTGTATTGTCTGTTTATTGCTTTTTATTCTCTCTTATATTATTGTCATTTATTTATTCTTTATTTCCAAGGACTCTGGCAGTTATAAAACATAATTGTCCTCTCTAAAAGCCATCCAAAACACACGACAGGAAGTTTATCTTCCCTAGGAGCACACGAATGTTTGAAACCAGTCTGTCAGTGGAAATCCTGTGCTTTCGTGTATGTAACTTGCCGTTTGGAATCTCTTGACTGAATCTAGGTCAGGTTATCTATGAACATAATATTGCCAACAAAGTTACCCATGGCAAGTGAGTAAGGGAAATATATTAGAGAAAGTGTGAGTGGGGGGGTAAATTGTAGGATAAAAAATATTTATGTTTTTGTAATCTCAAAATATGATCCTCCTCTCATTGACAGCAGTGGCAACACACTGGTCAACTTGAGTGAAAGTAGGCTTAACTTCTTTGTTTTCACCTAGTGAATCTGCTAGGGCAATCCTGACTTTCCAATGTGACTGCCAAAGTATTTAAATTACATCACTTGTGTCTGAAGTCTTCTGGTTTACATTCTGAAATAATACTTTCAGCCTCTTTAGCACATTTCAAATCCAAGTGATCCCAAGTGCTTTACAGACTATTGTAAGGATATATTAAAAAAGATCACCTCACCTGCCAGAGAAATGCACCTCTCAAAGAAACAGTACACAAAGCCACTTAACAGCATCTACCCATAGTTGTAGCACATTTGAATAGGAAGTGAGGAATAATATTGTAGTCGATTGACTGCAGAAGGAATTACAGGAGGCTGGGTATAATTACTGAAACTAGAATTTGGCCGGTGTGCCAAAATTGACTTTTGGTTTTTGCTTGCACTTTTTGTCGTTAATCCCATGTGATGTAAAATGCCAGCATTGCTAGCACCGAAACTGAATTTAATATATAGGTCAAGGTCAAATAAAGACTGGCTGTATGTGACGATATATATGTGATACTGATTTGGTCATTTTGCTTTCTAATTCATTCATCTTTTCTGATATGTATTTAGGTTTTCTTCAAATATTGGGGGGGGGTCCTAGTCAGCTTTTTTTTTTTTTTTGCCTTAAACGTCTTTGCAGAGTTTGAATGAGCAGCTGATGCAAAGTACTTTAATCTTCTATCATCATTATTATTACCTTTTTATTACACAGGACAGTCTAGAGCAGCCATGATACCTCCGAAACAGCCGAGGCAACCGAAGGGAGCTTTGGATGATGCCATTGCCTTTGGAGGACTAGTAGACCAGGAGACAATGAACAACTTGCAGCCAACACCACCTCCACTGCCAAAGAAAACAATTTTGAGAGCCAACACAGAGCCAACTCCCAGAGATCTCCAGAAGCAGGCTCTGGAGAACAGCCTGTGCATTGTAGCCAATCCCACCTATGACATTGACACCAACTGGGAAGCAAGCAGCGCCTGCTCTTCGGTCAGCCTGGAGCTCAAGGTACTGGACAATGAGTCAGGAGATTCCTTGGACAGGCCTACAGAAAAACTAAGGGCAACCACCTCAGCAACTAACAGTGTTTCCAGCCTAACCACTATCAGTATTAAGGACCGGTGTTCCAACAGCATGGAGTCTCTAACAGGGAGACACATCTCGCAGACTAAGCAGGGCAAAGGTGTCCAGAAGCCACAAAGGCAAGCACTTTATCGAGGAATTGAAAACCGAGAAGAGGTGGTAGGTAAAATCCGAAGCCTTCACGCTGATTCACTGAAGAAGCTGGCACTTAAATGTGAAGACTTGTTCATGGCCGGACAAAAAGACCAGTTGCGATTCGGGGTGGACAGCTGGTCAGATTTCAGGCTAACCAGTGATAAGCCGTGCTGTGAGGCAGGCGATGCGGTTTACTACCCAGCTTCTTATGCAAAAGATCCTCTCAACAATTATGCGGTCAAGGTAAGAGGGGCTTGAAAAACGGTAACCCTAGAGATGAGTGACAAAATGTAACAACAATAACTATAATCTGCAACACACCCAGTAGTGATAGGTCCTACAAATATAAGTGTGTGCTGCTTGCAGCAGCACTGTGTGAAGAGTAAGATTCCCAATATACAGGCTCTTCCTTCTCTCAGGAACCATGTGTGGCATTGGTATCTGCAGTTTAAGTTTGATCTGTTTTCATTGCAGCTCCAAAATTATTAAAACAAAACCGACACAACTCAGTCTTTACCATGGTCATTGTTTAATGAAGTACTGAAGAAAAAGCTGTATTATTTTAACGTGTGTCAGCAGTTTTTTGGAAACTTGCAATAACAAAATCCTTCGGTTCAGCTGCGTGCAGATGATACTAAATCATCATCCTTAGTTAGGAAAGATTTCAAAGTTTTCCATGTTCAGAGCCATGTAATTTTAAATGTAAATTCTAGACTAATATATCTTTACGTTCCCATACAAGGTCTTATATTTTCACCAGTATTCCTTACCAGCCTTTCAAAAGCGCTGCCTAGCCATCAGTGTTGCCTTATAAGCTATACTAAAAAAAAAAAGTGGAGCTTGTCAGTGTTAGTTTTGTGGCCTTTTACTAAACAAACAATTTGTGTCTAGTTTATTCTTCAGCTAACACATTAAAAGAAATAAGATTTACTAGATTTACTGCTAATATATCAATGAATAGTTGGCAACTATCTCACTAGATGTTGTTACTTTATGGACTTTTGTATAGGTACTTCTTTCTGAGCGCTGTATCTCTAAAGTTCTCAATGCTCATCTGGTAGGATGATAGTGAGAAAGACAGCTGAGACTCATAGCTCTGTCAGGCTTCCTGTGTGACCTTGAGTAAGTCCTTGAACTTCTGACTCCTCCTTGAAACTGAGATAAAACATCTATTACCCAGCACAGGTGTGTGAGGCTTAATCGATTATTCCTTATAGAGCATGTTGACATTCTCAGAAGGGTGGTGCTTTACAGGAACAAAATGTTGTTGCCACTCCTACATGATTGTTTACAAGAAAGATATAAAAAAAATAAAAGGTAAGATTGGTGCAACTGATACGTTCTTCTGAAACTTGAAAAGGCATCTTTTTAAGGCAGATTTGTGAGCATAACCATTTATATTTCTTTAGTTATCAAGGACCTCTTTTTGAAAAGATGTGAAATGAAATATGGATATCTTGTGGATGCCATGTCCAGGGGTACAGAAGAGCCTAGAACCAGACCATGAATGTATCTGGCAATCTACTCTCGTTGCAGAATCAACAGTCTGGCACGACTCAGTTCGGGGTTTTTCAGTTTTAATACAATGATGGAAAAACGGTTGCTTTTCTAGGACCCAAAGTGGTGTTTTTCTATATAGGCAGGTTTGGGTTACTGCTAATGTGATTCCTCTTTGCACAGTATGGATGGGCCCTTAAAGTATTCCCTGACAGGCAAGAGCTGTGTAGCTGGTTTCTTATCTACTATCCTCCTAAATATGTTTCTTATGTAGAAAGCCAGCGAGAAGAAAGAACAGCAATGTAGCATGGTCAAATATTTTTTTTCTCTCATAGTTCAGATGTCTTTAAAAATAGTTCTCAGACTGACAACATTTATTGCAGCAATAGGTGTGATGGTCTTGAGAGTGAGTGAAGTATCCACAAAATATCCTTGAGCTGGAGGTCACCACGAGCTGTTGTGCTGTTACGATGAGAGGAAAAGTCACTCTTGAAAATACCCTCCCTGGCACTTAATGTGATATAGGAAGGTACTCTCCCCACACATGTTCTCTGATTTCTTCAAAAGTCAAGCAGGACCAGCATACAGGACTACTGCTGTCTTTTCATTTTCTCTTTCACGTATCTTACGTATTATGCATTTGGCTAAGTTGGGTTCCCTTCAGTTGTGTGTTTCTTTACTGCATATTTTTATTACTGCATTCTCTATGTTATATGAATTACATATCATCGTTTAAACTGTGGTTACTGGATTTTTTTTCCCCTAAAATCAATTATAGTAAATTTCACCTTTGTCTTAACATTTGCCCCAAGTTGATCTTTGACTTATAAGTCGTCAGTCCAGGATCAGATTTGTACAAAATCTCATACCAACAGATTGCTATTACATTACGCAGAGATTTGGGGAATTGGCTTTAACAAATACACTAGTTTTACTATCATGGGTATTTTTTGTGTGAGCCAAATTACCTAATCATCTGCCTCCAACAAATAAGCTATGTATTCCTGCCATTTTAAATCCCTTGTCCCTAAAACAGGATGGCAAAAATAGATTAAAATTACTGGTGTGCCTATTGAATCCAAAATATAGCCCTCCTGTTATTTTTGATCAAATCTTAGAAATACATTTTGAAAGTGTACAAGGAGCCACATCTTCGGACAGTGTAAATTTATGTAGCTCTTCTGAGTCTTGTAGAACTCCCCAGGCAACACTGGCTAACAATTCTTTAAGTTTAATGATTTTAATATTAGATTTGAGAAAAAATGTGATAATGGGATTTTTTAATTATTATTCTCTTTGTAGAAAACAAGAGATTCACCCCCAAATGGTGTTAAGAATCTTAATGCATAAGTCAAAAAAAATTACATTTTAATATTGTATCTCCAAAAGTAGAATTACAAAAGCACTGCTAAAAATTAAGCTTTAACCTTCTGACTACTGCTGAATTAAATTTAGAAGAATGAACCTTTTGTGCAGATGACTGTACCAGTGCACCTTTACATTCCGGTGGTATCACCAGCAAAAGATGCTCTGATAAAGGTGGTGAAGAACAAGCACAACTTGTTCTGTTGGTATGGATAGTAGAGGAAACATTGTTTATAGGGGTGTGTTGTTTCAAAGCACTGTATTACGCTCTTTGCTTCAATCTCACCTAATCTGCTAGTAAACATCCTGTGCAAAAAGGCTGCAGGAAGCCATGTGGAAATTATTTTGACTGAAACGTTATAAATAAAACCAGTAAATAAGTCATGATCGGAAAATTACTTTTCCAAATGGAAAAAATAGAAATTCCCTTACAAGAAAGGTTTCCATAAAATTCCAGTCCCTGAGGTATTTTTCCTTCACTAGGTGCAGTACCATCTTTTAAGTAGCTGGTAGATCTGGGACAATATGGATAAACATTCTCCTGAAACCACAGTCTTATCAGTAATTCCAAATATGTAGTGGAAAGGTTACACTAAAGTACAAGCAGCAGAGCACCAGCTTTTTGTACAAAGTGCATTGGGTGAGTTCAAGTCTTAGTATCCCTACTCAGACTGAATAAGGCAGTGATATTACAGGAATCCTTTTTTTTTTTTTTTTAAATGATTACTCAGAATGAATAATAGTTAGACAAGATAATTACTGTGTCAGTGACGTAAACTACTTCCACTTTCAGTATTAAACTCTGAAGGAAATTACTGTACGATATCACAGACAGACACATAGAAATCATGATTCAGAGTCCACACGGAACAATACAGCCACAAAAAACCAGCAGAGTTATGGCCTGCAGCCTGTGTGCTCTGGCCACGGGCACGTGTTGCAATGCAGTTTAGGTAGGATAACAGGAATTTTGCAAAGGTGCAGACAGCTCAAAAGGAGCAGTTAAAATTTATTGCTTTGATTGCTACAGGGCAGCAGCAGATGTTCTAGCAGTAAAACCTTAGGATTTCTGCTAAGGGTCCTGTCCCTAGTATGAAATAAAGCAATGCAAAAGTAAATAGTATCGAGCTGAATTTGGCTGATGGTTTCCTAGTTGCAGCTGACAATTATTTTCTAGTTATGTTTAGTTTGTCACAGTGTGCTAAGGTGTTTTTTTGGTAATTCAGTTTCCTAGTGGAGCTTCTTGGCAGAAGTGTTATTAAAGGTCATCCCAGAACTTCATGCCTGAGATCAAAATAAAGCTATGTATGTTAAACTTTTAGCCCATTCCAAGTTCAGTCACAGCAGCGTAGAATTCTGTATTTTGGCACGTCGTTAAAAAGTCAAAGCTCTATTCCAAGGCCAGATCAAGAAAATGAGGTCAATCAGAGATCAAACTGGCCTCCTTGGAAAACAAGGTTGTGCCAAGAACAAGCTATCAATTTGGGATTAGCAAGCTTTCATTCTACACAGAATTTCATTTGCAGTTGTCCCTCTGTGCAATACAACAAAGTAGCACAGATGGTGCAGTCTGTGATCTGTGTTTCTCATTTTCAGCACTTGTAAATTCATTTCCCACAATATTCATCGTACTTTAAGTTCACTGACGCCCTGTAAAATGCATAGGACAGAGTGGAAATGAGATTCCCTGCTGGTAAAGTGGAAGTCAGCTGATGGCACAGTAGGCTACCGGACTCATAAAGCAAAAATAAAAACTAATGCAGAACAGTTTTTCGAAGCTCTGAAACATTAAAATCTTGCTTCTTAGCAAGAAGCGGGTGGTGGGGGCAGGAACTGAAGTGGCAGGATATAAAGAAACCTGTCCTGTCCCTATAAACGTGACGGAAGTTTGGTCCCTATGGATGCAGTAAAGAAAAGATACATGATGACAGTGCATTCCAGTGAAAAGGAAGATGGAAACTTTCCATTCCTTCCTACTCATAGCTCTCCTTTTTTCTCATCGCTTTCTTGCATCATATGGAAGGGCTTTTTACCAACATTGCTTCATCTTTTGAACAACCAGCTCTTTATCAGCTTTAGAAATAAGGCTTGTCAAGCCCTTATCAACACCTTTCTTTCAGCTATTATCACGTACCATATCTTCATAGCTCAGCTGATTGTATTTCATTAAAGCAAATGATAAATGATCGATCCTACTTTCTGTTGGTGTTTTAGGCAAAGTATTTTCACCTTTTTCTTTTCCTGTGCCCCAAAATAGGAATCTAACTATATATGTAAAAGGCAACAGGATTTCCGCATTTTTTTAGAGCAGATGACTGGAACAGACAAAAGCTTTAAAGATCATGCAAAGAAAACTGGGCCGTATATTTACTCACAGTTTTGATGTAGCATTAACTGTCACAAACAGAAAAGCAGCTCTGTATCCACTCCTTTAGCAATTCATCACAAGCAGTCTAAAATACTTGCTAATGAGGCCATCGAATTTCACAATTTGTTCCCTAAATCTTTTCAAATGTAAATATAGACTTTGGTTGCGTAACTTACTACAACTCAAACCATTTTAAAAATTGTAAATCTTGGTCATTCAGATGATAGTTTTAGGTGACAGTGGAGTTATTCCAATATAAAATGCTAGGGTGAGCATTATTACCCATTTATAGTATTGAACACTAGTATTCACTACTGTGCTGCAAAGTGGTAGCATAAAATAGAGTTCTGAGTAGAAGCTGCAACTCAGAAAATGCTAAAATAGTACAAGAAGTTTGTCAGTAAATAAAATTTACATTACAGAAACTGTCTTTGAACAGATCAGTAAGAAAACTTAGTTTATCTCCACTGCTTTTCAGTAGATTTTCCCCACTCTAGTAAGATACTGCTAAACCGGTATCCGAACTCCGCAATCTAAAACCCCAGAACTTATCTGGACTCGCGCAGCTGTATTTCACCGCAAAAGTCTGAAGAGTAGCCAGACCCTTACAGGAACATCAGGTTACTGCCGGGCTGTCTTTTAGAAACTGTTTAATGAATTCAGACAGGTGTCTGAGTCGTCATCATTCTCCAGTTTTTGGGTGCTGCTTCTAGACAGCCTAGCTTTCCGGTCCCGTTGTCAGTTACAGCCTATCTCGTGTACAGCCTGTAGTGTTTGTAGAGTCAGCAATTTAATCAGCCTTAAATAACTCAGCTGCCTCTTCCACTTCTCACTTCATGTTGTTTGTAAACAAAAAGCAAGCAGCAGAAAATACATCTCCAATCAGATCTCAGCTCTCCTGTCCTCGTAGATATCGCATGCGTGTTCATGTACCCGTATACTTCCCTGTATTAAACAGAAGTAAAAGTGTCCAAAAGCCATCACTATTGGGCATTTGTGGGATGAAAGAATTTTTCTTTCTTTATTGGTTATCTTCTCTAACGGAAGAATAAGGAGGGAAAAACTGTTTTCATGAATGCAGTCATTTTAGTATTGATTTTAATCTATATATTTATATTTGTTGATATAAAGACAGGAGCCTGAAACAAAAACTCACATTTAAGAACTGACAGTGGCGAAAGTTTGGCTCTGCTGGGGATTCAGACTTGAGAGTGGGCGCTGCTCTGGAGGTTTTCATGAACCACAGTAAGAATGGAGTTAATAATGTTAAAGTGTTGCAAGGGTCAATATATATAAAGCTCTCTTCTGCTTGATGCTGGAGAAGTCTTCACTGGAATCCTGTATTCATTATAGGGTGCCACTCTTCAGAAAGATGTCATAAATGGGGAGAATCCAGAAAAGAGCAACAAGAATCAGAGGGTTAGGAATAAAGACAGGAGGAATGCGGGCTGGTAATTTTCAAAAAGAAAACAATGAAGAGGGGAAAAGTTACATTTTCCCAAGTGAAAAAGTCTAATGTTAAAGAATAGGAATCAATATTTTTTAATATCAGCTAGGAGAAGGGCTATCAGTTGAATCTGAAGTAAAATAGAATTGAATAGCAGGAAGGAAGAGAAAGGAGAAGAGAGAGGAGGACAGCTCTCTCTTGGGGTGTTTTTAGTAGGTCGGAAAGGCATTTCTTAGGAATGATCCAGCTGGCAACATACAGACCAGATTCGCCTTGCAGGCCAGTTCTGCTGGCTTAGAGGAAAAGGGAATGGGTGCAAAGGCAGCGTACTCCGCCCTAATAGCTGCTTGCCTTTTGGTGCAGATGTGCATGTACGTTAGAAGGAAGCATTACCACATCCACAGAGGCCTATGAAAGTGTGCTTTTGTACTGTCACAATTCTAGGATTTGGCACTGTTTTCTAAAATGAGTGAACCAGGGCTGATTTTGAGAGGTGCAAAGCCTATCTCCTGTTATTTTAACTGAAATTCCAATAATAAATTTGAGAGCCCTTTTCTGAAGTAAGTAGGAAAAAGAGGCTGCCTAGGACTAAAATTAGAAACTAGTAATAAGTTTCGATTCCTTTGCTTTTCTTTTTCTATGGGTGAGGAGAAATCCTTTTCCTAAACTTTAAAAAAGGCATTGTATTCACAAAATTGAGAAGTATTACTTGTTTTAAGAGCAAATACTCTGTGGATTATATATTCCTAATAGAATATCATTTTTAGTTGGCAGGTGGCATTAGAAATCCTCTGTGGGTAACATGAAATATAGTACAATAGCTAACGACAAGTGCCTTTTTGCACTTTTCTTATCCACAAGTAAGCCTGACCTTAAAAGTAAACTCTTTCAGAATGAGTTTATGTTTTAGATTAGGTCAGTTAAGTATTTTTAAAAACTAAAGGCTGGATTACAACACACTGAACCTTTTCTGCAGTTGGAATTTGTTATCCCCATGGCTGGCTGTACAAGAGAGAGGCCACGGACTTGAAGGGCTATTATTGAAGGGCTATTACTGAAGACAAAACTATTCTCGTTTTCCTTAATAGCTGATCTCCCAATCAGATTTGATACACGCTGGTAGGGTCTATACTACAGTTTTCTACTCTGTCTTCTCTGCAGTACTAAGTATTTAGTAAATCTGGGGACATTAATCTCCAAGACAATCAGCTGCCATTTTCTTTTTATATATAATTCAAAGGTTAATGCTGTATTTTTACTGTATTTGTTTAAACTTTTGTAACCCTTGAGAGAAGCGGGGGGACTTTCCATTGATAACTCACTTCACCTCTAACAGTATAAAGCAGATTTGAAAATTTAAATTGGCAAGAACCACTGTTCAAAGAGGGTAACTATCAACATTTCCAGTAAATGATGACTTTCCCGTCTTAAATAAAATTGACTAGAAAATGCCTTTTTCAAATTTGTTTTGTTATAAACACACGGTTTAAGCTATAGTGTACATTATACGTAGGGAAATCTAAATGCTTGTGAAGTATGGAAATATGTGCAGTATCAAAAACAGGAGGACAATGAAAATACTGTTATTACTTTTGTCTACTTTCGTATGAATTTTCGGAATTGAATTTTCTGAATTCATATGAATTTTTTTTGTGTCTACTTTCATATGAATTTCTTTTAAATACCTCCAGAGATGGAGGTATTTAAAAGACGGGTAGACGTGGTGCTCGAGGACATGGTTTCGTGGTGGACTTGGCAGGGATAGGTTAACGGTTGGACTCGATGATCTTTAGGGTCTTTTCCAACCTTAACGATTCTATGATTCTTTGATTATCTGACAATGCACTTTTCTGATCAACGAGCATAAAAGACTAAATCTCCCATTAAACTGTATGTTTCTTAACCATATAAGCACGTAAAAGATGAAAAACTTTTTTGTTTTGTTTTTAGTGAAAGGTAAGTTTATAAGTTACCCTACATAAGTTCCTGAGAAGAGGAAAAATGAGAAATGGAGAAAAGTCACCTTATGCTTCTATTTAGGGCTAGTATGAGATCTGGGCTCCTTGGTTGTTGTGACTGTGTAGAACTAGTGCTGACATTTACTAACCGTAGTTATCTGGCTTGCCTTGGCTTTCAAGGATGAGCTAAGGGAAGCTGTAACTTCCTCTGAAGAGAGATGTCTTTTCTGAGCTTTGCAGTTAAGACTTGTTGGTGCATTATACCAACTGAATACTTAGGCTCCAACCTTGTAAAGATTAAAACATAACCTTACAGGCTTTGAATACTCCCACTGAAGTCGGTAGAACTAAGGTTAGTATGCAAAGGTCACCACACCTGCGTCTTTGTAGGGCTGTAATTTTAATCAGTAAATGCCTTAGAACAGAGGCCCTAATAGAGGTTGTCCAGTGGCTGTTGTAAGGGGGTTGGAGCTGCCAGTTGTTATGGCAGAGCAAATAATTCGTAAGGATAATTATAATCGTGATAATGTACGTATCAAGAAGATATTTCTGGACAGAAATTAAATACAGCTATATATGGCAAAATAAAAACATATACTTAGGATCTTGGCAAATGATTGAAAGCAATTAAGGTACCATGTTCTAATGAGTTTCCATTCATCACCTGAGCCGCAGCAAGTATGCTTCCCACCAGCCCCTGCCATGGACACATACGCCCCCCACTGCAGACGTGATGTGTTAGCTTGACACAGCCGCAGCTAATAGATTTCAGTTTCCAGTTACAGTGGGCAAGGAGCATGCATCCAGTCACTTAACTCAGCTGACAGGCGGTAACTTGTTATGCTGTGCTAACTCAGTCATGTGCAATCGTTTGATCATATCCTCAAATATTCTATGTGTGTTTCTTTGTATCTCCTATTGCTATTGATTATTTTTATCTTGTTCAAGCTTCACACAAAGCTAAGAACATGAAATCAAATTATATGGATAAGCAAGTAACTGTAAAGTAAGCTTCACTGTGAATTTACCATATATCAGCTGTAATTCTGACTAAAAGCACAGCCTGCCTGAACCGTATTTTCCATTGAATAATATATGCACAGGGAGAGCTGCCTGCACATATTGGTCTGCAGTTGCTTACTATCCAATGGAAACTGTTCCTGTGCCTTAAGATAATCTGCCAAGGTCAGCTCGGTATAAAACTTTTCGGTGCTTATGTTTAGGGCTAGACTGTGGATACCCATCAACAGGGTACCTATTAAAAAAAAAAAAGGTATACAGAATTTACAAATTTAAGATTTATGTTATGTCTGTTCTGTTTATTTTCTTCCCCCAGATTTGTAAGAGCAAAGCTAAGGAATCCCAGCAGTATTATCACAGCCTATCTATCCGGCAGAGTCTGGCTATCAACTTTAACATCCAACAGGACTGTGGCCATTTCCTTGCTGAAGTACCAGTTCGTCTCCTTCCATGGGAGGATGCTGATGCACCAGAGGTGGAAGAAGACGAGCGGGAAGAAGAGGAGAAAGAGCCCGAGCAAAAGAACAGAGACACTCCTTCCAACACAGAGGCTTCACAGAAAGACAGCTCAAGCAACCACGGGACCATCAGCAAGCCACGCAGCCGTGTTGTGGTCATCACGCGGGAGGTCCCATACTTAACAGTGGCCGACTTTGTGCGAGAATCTGCGCCCCGCCATGCAAAAAGCCCAGATTTATATGAGAGGCAGGTCTGTCTACTCCTTTTACAGCTGTGTCTGGGTCTGGAGCACCTGAAACCCTATCATATCACGCACTGTGATCTGCGGTTAGAGAACCTGCTGCTGGTTCATTCCAGACCAGGAGGCAGCCCTCTGAGCTCTGAGTCCATGGAACCCAGTCCCAACACTGCCTGCCCAGCCAGATTAATAGTGAGCAATTTCTCCCAGGCCAAGCAGAAGAGTCATATGGTGGATCCTGAGGTCCTACGGGATCAGTCCCGCCTGGCTCCAGAAATCATCACTGCAACACAGTACAAAAAGTGTGATGAGTTTCAGACTGGCATCCTCATCTACGAAATGCTGCACTTACCCAATCCCTTTGATGAGAATCCAGAGCTGAAGGAGAAGGAGTATACTCGTACTGATCTCCCCAAGATTCCTTGCCGTTCCCTCTACTCTCAAGGGCTTCAACAACTGGCCAGCTGCCTGCTGAATCCCAACCCTTCAGAGAGGATCCTGATATCAGAAGCCAAGGGAATCCTTCAGTGTTTGCTTTGGGGTCCACGTGAGGACCTGTTCCATGCTCTAAGTACATCTTCCAACCCCTCACGGAGAGATGCTGTACTTCAGAACTGGCTGGATATCAAAAGGACGCTGCTGATGATCAAGTTTGCAGAGAAGTCCTTGGACAGGGACTGTGGAGTTGTTCTGGAAGACTGGCTTTGTTGCCAATATCTGGCTTTTGCCACTATAGACTCGCTTCATCGCATTGTGAGAATCATGCAGCAGCACTAGTTTGTAGAGCCTGTTGCTTTTCATGAAGCACCCCCCACCTCCACCCCAGCCCTCACTCCAGCCTGCCCTAGGGCTCACACTTTGTACTAGTGTTTAAAAAACAGCCTAGTTATCAAAGCCAGCAACTCTGAGCAAATAGGTTCTAATTGGAGAAATTGCATCCTGTACCCAATATGACAGAAACTTTACTTTTTTGCCAGGCCTGTTAGGGTTCGATTATGTATACATGACTGCATTTGGATCAGACAGTATGTAACTTGATTAATATCTGGCTGAAAAGGAGAGCAAACTTTGATACCACTATTTCTACCACTGCAGTAAACAAATTGCCCTCCTCTTCTGGGTAGTTTCTGTCATTTCAGTATGTAGCATTGGTTAGTGAATAGCAGTGGCCATAAGCAGAAATGGATTATTTGCAAATGTGAGATGAATGATCCACCATGCCACAAAACACTCATTTGCTTCCATTCCACACACAATGCAAAATTGTCTCTCACCTTAGTCCCCCACAAGTGGGCTGGACTCCTCTTTCCTTTGGTCTCAACCAAACAGATTCTGATCTTTCTTTTACACTTTACGCCTTCCTTTTTTCCTCCCCAGATGTGGTGATCCTGCTGACTGCAGCAAGTGTCAGTGGGCAGTAAGCATCTGTGTTCAGTCCTCTTCCCTCCTCCTCTGCCTCTGACTCACGGCCTACCCATATCCTTTCTAACCATGGATCTGTGATTTCAACAATGCTGCCTTAATCAGACCATTACCCTTAGCTTAAGACCTCTGCATTAAAAAGCAGAATATGCACACTTTGTCTGTCCCATTTCCTACATGACTCTCACCAGTCCGGACTGTTGCTGTACTGTAGCTATAGCCGCGTTTATACAAGAACAATACAACACATGGTGGGCAACTGAAATTCCCCTCCTATCGCAAAAGGCACTAAGGCCTGACTTGAAATGGGTAGGACGTACATAACCTTCTCTGGCAATCTGCTATGAATCAGGGATGGAAATAACAGCCACCTCTTCTGTTTTATTTTGGTTTGCTCTTGTCACTTGTGCCATATTGCAAAGTGGGACTGAAATTGGCTCTGCTGGAATGTTGGCAGGAGATAGAAATGTTTAGAGCTCGTCTCTGTGTAGCTAACAGGCCACATGGAGACACTTTTACTGCAGACACAGTTCTCTGAAGGGTAAAAACAAGGGGCCAAAAACACTGTTGTTTAATTATTGAGGGAGCTGTTAAATTTGGCAGCCACAACTAACAGTATCGTGATCCACTTTTCCCACAGCAGTGTTTGGCTGCATATCTCTTGTCTGTTGTAACTAGTGTTTTCTAATGTTGCTATAGACAACACCCTAAAAATGGAATATTGTCAGAATAGCTCAAAGAGCATTGCAGACACAGCTTTGGACTAGAGCAGGAAGTAGTGAGGATTAAAGAGACAGAATTTTAAAAAACTCAACCTGAAGGACCTTTCCACTTTTAGAGGCCGCTGCTGACTTCTTTCCCTGACCTAACGGCCACTTCCTATGGAACCTCGGCAGTTGTACAGGCGGTATCTTTGCTCAGTATTGCTAGGCTCTGAATTGTTTCCTGAATCACTCTGAAGAATCGATCTGGATGCAGGGGAAAAAGTGATACTGAGTATTCTGACTGGGTGATGTAAAGCAGACAGCCCTAGTTATGAGCCTGTGCTTCTCTCCTATGGATCTATGTGCAATTCTTGTATGTATTTTTTAAAGCTGTACATTACAGTGTTCACTTTACACACCAGCCTTTACCTGATGCTAGATCTGCAGCCCCTTCCTTTACTTTCCTGGCACATAAATGCACAGATATCCATGTGTTCTTTTATGGATTGATGTTTCATTTTAATTGTTAAAACTGTGAGGAATCAATTCACTTCAGCCTTGAAACAAATAGCCACTTTATACAGCATATGCATGCTTGGACCAGATGCATGGAAACTGAACAAACAGTCCTGCAGGCTTAAAGTCAGCAAAACTAGCTCTAGATCCACACCGTACATTTGGAGGGGTTGAAATGTCTATATTATTCTTCTCTGGCATCTATCAGAGCTAAGCTGAATAGTGTGTGGAAGCCTACATCGATTGTGCTGTAGTATATAGACTGTCTTTGTGACCTTTCTAAATATTTTTTTTTTTTTTTTAAAAACTTCTGATTATTATTCTTTTGTTTGATTCACCTGTATCAGTGAAGGATCAGGCAGGGATAAGGATAATATATTTTAATGTGATATATATTTTTTTCTTTCTCTTTTCGGCAAAAAGGTTAGGATGGCGGCATTGATGCAGAAAAAGAGGACAGAGCATTAAAAGCCCAAGTGCAATGTATGTAGTTGAGGTACTTCCAGTACATCAGGAAAGAAAGTTTCTACACTACTGCTGAGCAGCTCGTAGAAGAACCTTGACAAAGAATCACGCACGTTCAAGGCAGCCCTGCTTTATCTGGACACAGGAGGGCAATGCTCTCATAGCTTAAATACACGGAGCATGACAAGTCACTCGCACGCTATCTGCTAGCTATTAGTCACAACGTGCTGAGCTACAAGTAGGGCTTCTTGTTCTCTGTGGTCTGGTTTTGTGTTTGTTTCGTAGTGCGTGTGCGCACGTAACTTCTCACCTAACTCATATAGGCTGTACAAGCAATTCTTGGACCACTTGCCATTGCAGTGGGCTCATTCCTTGAAGCCGGTAGGTGTTTCCGTGTTTATGGACACATGTTCTCAGTGTCACTTTCATGTCAACACGCACATGCAAAGTTGAATTCTGAATGTTTTACAACCATACATATTTAATGCAGCTGGTCCGAAGCCTTTGTATCTCTAGCTATCTAATTTCAGTTTGTAACTTTTGTGATGAACCCATACCCATTTTAGCTCTGCAGTATAATCAAGCATGGATAGATGTTCACTACCAATCTCTTTCTTGTGCAGCACTGGGTAAACTTTAGCAATTTGTAATGTTGTGTGTTTTTTTTCTTTAAAAAAGGAAGAATGGTCAAAGTAGTCAAACACAATCTGGCCTGAGCTATTCCTTGGGGAGCTTGAGGCTGACTTTGCAGATATGCCCATAACTGATGATTGTAACTGTGTTTGTGGTGGTTCTCCATCCTGGCAACAGATTGTGCCACATAAATATCTGAGAATGTATGCATTAAACTGATTGTAAACAAATCGTAAGAATGCTACAGCATAATTGCTAAGCAAAAGGAAAAAAACCCGCTCTGTTTGTAACTGGGATCCTGTGTACGACAGGAACAAAACCCCTGGCTGTGCATGTTATAACTTGAATATGTGCACAGATCTTGAATTTATTTTTTTTTTAGCAATGTCGCACTTTCAGTTGAGCTCAAGAAATAGGAAGAGCTGCAAATCTAAGATAACAGTATTGACTGTAAATATATATTTTTCTATTAATAAAGGCGGTCATTCAAATATTTTTAACATGAACTCTAAAGATTTTTCCAGTGGAAACTAATTTCTGGAAAAAATCAAATGCTTGTTTGAAGAATTATGATGAGTGGTTTCTGATCCTATTAGAGCCATTAAAAACCTCTCTAATGTTACAGAGAGAGCACAGTGATTGGATTCACAATGTTTAGTGCCTTGTCAAAAAACTAAAATGTAGCTGGTCAGTTGGTGGAAATCTTATTCTTTTCATAATAGCCCTAGAAATAATACTGCCCACATTAAGATGCAAAAGACTCTACAAAAGTAAATGCTGTACTTTGTATGATAGTGAGTTGATCTATTCAATGAGATTTGGTTTTGGAGTTTACGTGAATGAGTTCCTTTAAGTTGCTTGTAGTACAGCATAAACCTGCAGTAACAAAACCGTGGGCTTTCAAATTTGGGATCTGCACAGGGAGAATAATAGCGGATAACAAGTCAATTGGTCTAGACTGACCACAGCATCAAAAGAAGCCTATTGCTTTGACAATCTACTGCAGACACTCAGCTTCTAGGAGATGAGGAATCTAATTAGTCTGAAGAAGCAGTGAAGGTAAGATGTGCTGCTCCTGCTGTAGGTAGTGGATGTGCTGCACACTGTACTCTGTGGTGTGAAATGCAAACCTCTCAAAACAGGAGTTCTAAAAAACTGCTCCTGGGACGTTAGGGAAAATGGTTTTGTTTTGTATTTCTTAAATGGGAATTACTTACGAATTTCTTTCAAACCTCAGATCTGATCCAGTCAATATGCATAACCAGGTGAATATAAAGAGAATCTACTAGTAAAAACCTGCCTACAAATTTTCAGGAATGAGGGAATCCAGAATTTTATTCTGGAGCCTCTGGAGTGTCCAAATGTGGAAGCCTGGTCTCACTTCAATATTCAGATGTGATGAAATCAATAACTCAAGCTAGGACATCATGTTGCTGCCCCACAGAGAAGAATGCGTGTAGCATTTACAGAAATGTTCCACCTTAAATCTTTTATGCTCCACACATCCCGGCAGCACCCAGAAGGTATGAATGGATCATCTTGACATTTTAACACAGGGGAATTCCCACATATTAGAGAGAAAAATATATTATTTAAATAAATCACATGTGTGTTAGGGTTCAGCTACTTGGAGAATTTATTCAGCAGCTTCACACTGTAGGTCCTTAACTTTAGCATGTAAAAATAGTATTTGCTGCTGAAATAAAATGTATCTGTTTCTCAATTCCTGTGCTGAGATGCCCCACCTAAATTAATTTTTTGTTTGTTTGTAATAGCAATTAAGTTCATATGTAAATATAAATTAAATAGTGCTGTGTTTATTTAAATCAATTGTAACTTTTCTGAGGGATATAATGGAAACTGAATCAGACCTTTTAATGCACTTTCCTTTCTCCCTTTCCCCAAATAGGAATTAAGTTGTTTCTCTGTAGAAACAGTACGTGACCATTATTCCCTGCATGACTAGGCCATCTATTTTACTCTGATTTTGCAGAGGTAGTGTTTGTTCTGCCAAAGCTCCTGTAAAACCTAGAACAC